CCGCGAGTCGACCATTGCGTTTCCAGGCCCTGCTAAATAACATTCTTTAAGGTCCGATATCGTTTTCATGGTGTTCTTCGCGTTTTTCTGGTTCTAACGACACCAAGTTTGACTCCAACAGACGCGATATAACATTAGGTAGGTTATTGGGGCTCCCGTGCGCGAGCGGCTGCTCGGGAAAACAGTTGAATGTTTGTTGTGGTCCGTGGCGGCCATCTTGGAACTTCTTGTTCTTCTAACCGCTAAAATCACTCATTAATGGAGTTTGGAGGCAAGTTCTTCAATTTCTTCCAAAGGAGTTACAGTGTCTCATCTATTATATATCTCTAAATGCTATAGCATTCATAAGGGGTCAATGCGAGTTGTCTCCTTATTCAAGTAAAGCCTAGAGGCAGAAAGGGATACGTCGACTTGACTCATTTTTCATTCCGTCATATCTCAGGAGCTTTGGCACGTGGGCAAACAGTTCTTTTCCGGAAAATGTGCCTGTTGTACTGTAGATTTACGGCCACTAAAAACCTCAGTGTGGGATTATGTCAGTTAATCCCTCCTTCCGCTTCAGGGATCAACTCAAGAAGGAATTGAGCTAGCGATCTGCTGGGAGTTTCAGGGTCGTTTTGTATCCTAAAAAGACAAATCGAGTTCAAAGATGAGCATTTAAGCTCAAAAATTGGCTTTAAAAAAGAAACAACAATTTGCAAACTATTTTTTGTTGTTTTAGTTTTTTATTGATTCCCTTGGGTAAGTGCAACAGGGTGAGGCCGGGAGGGGGGGGGGGGCGCCAGTGCGGGTCGGGGCTTGCCGGGCCTTGGCGGGGCTTGCCGGGCCTCGGGTTGTACTTATAACTTTGACTTTGGACGTAGTTGAGAAGGGCGCCAGGTACCATTGTACCGTTATCATATGGCTTCTATGTTTTAAATACTGTGGTATTAATTTATTGACTAATAAAAGTAATGCAAAGGTCAATGAGAGTCCAACAAGAACAACAATGGTTGAGATAAATCTAAACAACCAAATGCGATGGGGTATTCACTTCAGTAAATACCCTGTACCAGGGCCTGGAAACGCAATGGTCGACTCGCGACCGAGGCGTGATACCGCAACGGGGGAAGCTTATGTGAAAAAAGTATGCATCTACGGTGGAAAGCAAGAAGAGATTCGGAAAGCTGATGAAATTTGACGTGTAGTAGGCTATATGCTTAGCCCGAAAGTAATGTTTGTCGTGGTCAAATCCACGAACAAAGTTCCGTCTGCTAGAGTGAGGTTATGTAGGGTCGAAAAACCATGTTTTTTTATCATTTTTTTTCGCGCACTCGTGACAGTATCATGTTTTATACAAGACCTACTACACGGCAAATTTCATCAGCTTTCCGAGTCTCTTCGTGATTTTTACCGGAGATGTAACCTTTTTTCACATAAGCTTTCCCCAAACAAGCTGTTTTCGCTGGTATCGCGCCTCGGCCGGGACCGGACCATTGCGTTTCCAGGCCCTGCCTGTACACGATGACTAATGCCCTGTAATACTCAGTAATACCCGGTAATATGCGGTAATACCCTGTATGAAGCAGTAATACCTGGTAATACGCAGTAGTACCCGGTAGTACGCTGTAATACCCTGTAATACCCTGTAATACCCTGTAATACCCTGAAATAATGTGTACCACGGCTGAACCTCACTTAACCAGAACGTTACAAAATCAGTTGTCCCACAAAACAGCAATAAATGATGACAAGACAGGACATATAGATTTTTTCTGGGCGACCAATTGAGGTTAGCAAAATGAAGCTGAAACATCGATGAAAGTAGTAGTTGATGTTGATACAAAACGTGTTTCGTTCAAAACTAATAAAGAATAATCACTGTCATTCAGTTCTTGTGCTTTCATTTAGCTTAGCCTGGTTGACTCAAGCTAAAACAAATGTGACGTCATGAGTTTACCAATGTGATAGTTTTAAAATGGGATCAATTCTGAAAGATGTTGCACTTTACAGAGGTGACAGATTTTCTGACACACACACACACACACACACACACACACACACACACACACACACACACACACACACACAGAATCACCTAAAATAGAAAATGTTTTTGCCAATTTCGCAATAGCTCAGAATATAAGCTCGATTAGCTAATTATAAGCAAAAAGAGCGAAGGTATTACCCTTTCCAGCAACACTATAAAAAGCTTGAAAACCCGAGCCAAAATAATTGTTCACTTTAAGGTTGCTTTTAGTTTGCTATCGGTGCGCGGAGGGTCGCGAAAGGGACGCCAATGGGTCGTCAGGGTTCGTCACTGCCCGCGTGGAGGACTGACCTCGGTTTGTCATCGGGTCGCTCTATTCGCTCTTGAGCGACGTGAGTTCACATTTGGGTCGTCATATTCGCTCTGAGAGCGACTCGAGTACGCTTT